AGAGGGTTTCAAACGCCCTGTTAGGCCCCCGCTGTGGCGGAATCGGCCCGCTCTGGCGCTTTCGGTGCCTGTTACACGTGAAAAACCCGTGCTTTTCTCTGTTTCTAGAGGCTTTCAAACGCCCTGTCAGGCGCCCGCTGTGGCGGAATCGGCTCTCTGTCGTCTCTGTTAGACACGTGAAAAAGACGTGTTTCTCTCTGTTTCTAGAGGGTTTCAAACGCCCTGTTATGCCCCCGCTGTGGCGGAATCGGGCTTCTTTGGCGTTTTCGGTGCCTGTTACACGTGAAAAAGACGTGTGTTTCTGCGTTTCTAGAGGGTTTCAAACGCCCTGTTAGGCCCCCGCTGTGGCGGAATCGGCCCGCCCTGGCGCTTTCGGTGCATGTTACACGTGAAAAGGATGTGTTTTGTTCTGTTTCTAGAGGGTTTCAAACGCCCTGTTAGGCTTCCGCTGTGGCGGAATCAGTCCGCTCTGGCGCTGTCGGTGCCTGTTACACGTGAAAAGGACGTGTTTTTCTCTGTTTCTAGAGGGTTTCAAACGCTCTGTCAGGCCCCCGCTGTGGCGGAATCGGCTCTCTGTTATACACATGAAAAAGACGTGTTTTTCTCTGTTTCTGGAGGGTTTCAAACGCCCTGTTACGCCCCCGCTGTGGCGGAAGCGGCTCGTGCTGGCGCTTACGGTGTCTGTTATACGTGAAAAAGACGTGTTTTTCTCTGTTTCTAGAGGGTTTCAAACGCCCTGTTAGGCCTCCGCTGTGGCGGAATCGGTCCGCTCTGGCGCTGTCGGTGCCTGTTATACACGTGAAAAGGACGTGTTTTTCTGTGGTTCCAGAGGGTTTCAAACGCCCTTTTGGGCCCCCGCTGTGGCGGAATCGGCTCGCGCTGGCGCTTTCGGTGTCTGTTATACGTAAGAAGAGATGTTTTTCTCTGTTTCTAGAGGGTTTCAAACGCCCTGTGCGGACCCCGCTGTGGCGGAATCGGTCCGCTCTGGCGCTGTCGGTGCCTGTTACACATGAAAAGGACGTCTTTTTCTGTGTTTCTATAGGGTTTCAAACACCCTGTTGGGCCCCCGCTGTGGCGGAATTGACCGTCTCTGGTCCTTTTGGTGCCTGTTACACGTGAAAGGCGTCAGGGACTGCGTTTGGCCGAGAGCGTCACGCCAGCCAGGACGTTGTGGGGCACGTGTGCCCGCCGCGGGTTTTGTGCGTGATTTGTAGGCGTCCATGCGGCAAGGTGCTGTAAACGGTGACCCCACACTGCGGGCATTTGCGGGGGTGCACTCGCCCACAGACGTGGCCGTCACTCACACGAAATGTTTTTCGACAGTGCTTGTCTCCATGGATGACTTTGCCGCTGTAGGCGGTGCTTAGCACGTCCTGGTCGCAGTGTGGGCAGCGATAGCGGTACGTGCGGCCTGTTGCAGTGACTTTGCAGCCCGTCGTCTCGGTCGTGCGTGCCGCGAGCATCTTCTGTGGCACTTCGCGTGTTTCCGGTCGACTGTCTCTCCTTTTTCTTTTCTGTGACACGTCTGGGTTAACGGGCACCTCTGGAACAAGTGCGTGGCCATGGGTGGAATGTGGCTGCGCAGTTTCCGACGCAGTGTTTTTGACTTTTTTGGTGAGTTGCTCGGTTACCCTTTCTGTCGCGGCTCGGCTGCGCTTTGCTCCGCTACGGACGTGCGTGATTGTTGCCCGCAGTGGATCGATGGAAAGAGTCCGCGGTGTTTTCGGCGCCACGGCGTTGGGCCTGTCTGTGGCACATGTAGCTGCGGTGGCTGTCCGTAGGCGGGGCTTTGTGTGGACAACGGGTTTGCTTGCGTTCATCTCGTCTGCGATGACGTGCCGGACTTTGCGACGAACCTGCATTCGGGGAGGGCGGGCACGCCGTGGCGGAAGACGTGCGTCGCTTATGGCGACGGCGTGTTGGCGATCGACAGGTGGGACATGCGAAGTGTAACACGTGTCACATACTTGCCGTCCGTGCTGTCCTGCTGGGTGTTGGCGGCGATAGACGCTGTAGTCGTGTTGTTCCTTTCGTTGTCGACAGCGCACACAGATCCAACAGCCACGAGTCTTTCGTTGACAGGCGCGGCACTTTCGCTGGCCGTCCGCCCGGCGGCCCCACGCAGCATTGCTGAAAGACTCTTTGGTTAGACTTTTTTGGCGCACGAAACACTGCTTCTTTGCCTCGCACGACAAACAGACGCGGTAGGAGCTGCAGCGTGGGTGCAAATGCTTGGAGGGAAAATGGCTGGTAGCATGCCATACATTACATTGATGGCAACGATACGGCGTACCCGCGTTACGTTTTTGGGTTGTACATTCCCGGCAGACGCGGTAATCACTTTGTTGCCACTGTGCTTTGGTGAAGCCATTTTTGCGTTTGTTTTCGTTGCACTGCATGCACAGTCTTTCGTCTAAATATTTTTGCTTCAAAGCGTCCCAGGCAATTGGTTCTTGTTTCCAGACGTCGAGCAGCAGCTGCCGCCCCAAGGGCAGCCCAGCTTGGAAAGGAGCCAGAGGAAACGAGCGGTACAGCATAATTTTTTGTCGAGTGCGGCAGCGTGTCATTCCGACATAGACTGCAATGGGATCGGCGTTCGCTTGTACGTCAACGATTGCGCCGTGCTCAGTCGTGCATCCTTGTAAGGCATGTGTGGTTCCGGCGAAATCCGGCGCGAGCGGAAACTGACTTCGTGTGACTTTGAGTTTCGGGTTCGCACGGCCGGCGTCGAGGTACCAGGGCTTGCGCGCTACGCTGACTGGAAAAACGTTCTTTTGGTGGAAGCCTGGGAGTTGCCACTCGGTGCGAGTTTGAAAGCGTACAAAGATAAATTCGGGCAGAGTGTTCCAGATGATGTCGTTTTGTGGTGTTTCGCGTTCATTGGTTGTCGCGGACCAGCCACACACGATCCCGTGGCAGCCCCGCAAAATTTTAAAGGCGCCCCGGTGAATGTGCTCGCGCGCTTGCACGGGCATGCCGACGCAGCGGTAGGACGCCGCAGCGATCGCCGCAATCTGCGTCGCTGCGTCGTAACCAAGTTAGTTTTTCTTCTTGCAAGTCCGGCTTTGTGTGCAACGTTTGTGACGAGGCAACATCTTGTGCGACAGCATAGTACAAACGCTGCCCCTGGAGACGAGCCCACTGTTCGGCACGGATTCGATTGACGTGGCATTTCACGACGTTGGTACTAAAGATGGCCTGTGCGCGAGCCAGCTCATTTGCGAAGCGTGGATCGTCGAGCCCTGTCGCGACAAGGCGTTTGCTCGCACGTTCCGCGCGGCAAGAAGCGCACTCCCGTTGAAGGATTTGTCTTGGCGCGACGCTTGGGTGACATAATTGTTGACAGACGCTTTTGCCACAGGTCGCTCGCTGCTCGGATATGAGCCAACTACCTGGGACTTGCGTCGGCTGGCCGTGGAGAAAAGCGTGGTTGTCTTTAGACAAGCCCCCAATGCGTAGTTCCGCTTGCAGTTCTTGCAACCACTTATCTTGTGTACGTTCGCACCGCGTCAATTCTGTCACACCTTGCAGGCCACCGTCCGCAGCTGAGGCCCACACAAGTTGCTGTCCTTGCAAAGTCAACGGCAATTTCTTCGAGTTGACTTGCGTTAGTAGCTGCCATGGAATCTGACCCAAAAAGGTGCCTCGTGGTGGCGGTAGCTGCCACAAATCACCGGACAAAACCACATTGAGTCCACCAAAGGGGGGCGATGCGCCCATCGGAATGTTTGCCGTACTTCGTGGCACTCAGATCGAGCACCAGTTGTCGGCAACGTGCTTCCAAGCGAGCCAGCATTTCGGCACTGACCATGCTGATTTCGTCGAGCAGAAGCCAGCGCCACTGGACAGCGCTGCTTGCTAAGTCGAGGATGCGTTGCGCGTCCACGCTGGAGTCGTTGCCGTGCCACGCCAATCCAAGTGCTGCGTGGATAGTGTCTCCATCCAACGGTTCGGCGTTGACTGCCTGGAAGGCGACCACTTGGAACTCTTTGCCTTGTTGCCAGTTCAAACGTTGTTGAAACAAGTCTTGGCGAAGGAGGTTCAAGACATAAGATTTTCCGGTTCCAGGACCGCCATGCAAAGCCCATCGTAGTGGCTCTGTATTTGTTTCGGCAGCACCTCCCCGATCCTGTCCGGTCAGAGCTTCTGCGCGGATTCGTTCACAAACCGTTTGTAGAAATTGCAACTGCTCGGTGTTGCATTTGTGTTGTTGACGTATGTCTACGAGGAATTCGTCCACTTCTTTGGAGACACAGTGCGCCTGCGCCTGCCACGTTCCTGCGGCGGTCTCTGAGGCGTGCTCGTAAGATGGCGCTTTTGCTTTGCGGTTCGCTTTCGCTGTCTTAAGCATCGTCTGAACTTCGCGTGGATCGATTGACTCGTATGGATTTGGCATGTTGTCGGCCACGGCGCGGGCAGGGGGTTGCCAGATCACATCCGCTTGTGCAACCGCCGCTTTGTAGCTGGCCAGAGCCGCAGCATCAGCCTTGCTAGCTGCTTTGGTTTGGTTTTGTTTCCCTGTCTGTCGAAAGGATGTAGTCAGGACAGTCGGCAGGGCTGCAGCGGTGACGAGTAGAGGTTCATCTGCAGCCTCGTCATCGCTGTTGGCGGCATCGGTATCGACAGGGCGGACGCGATAGACAGACAAAAAGTTGCCGACATAGCGTTTGGTTTCTTCGCAGGGCAAGCGTGTGAGCCACGCTTGTAACGCCTGCAGCCATGTCTGTTGTGACCCCTTGAGATGACCTGCAAAAGGCACTGTGGCGGAGGCGTTCCTTGCGTTCAAAGTCCAAGCCCGAAAATATGTCAGCGTGAGGCGAGCGTTGGGTTCCGCCTGATCGACTGTATGTTGAGGCACGGGCGAATTCTCGAAATGTGGGCAGCAGGGGCGCGTGCGTCGTTGTAAGTAGCAGCGATGCCGCAACGTTTCGGTGGCTGTCGTGCGGTCGAGCAAGATTCGATTGTTGGATGCGTCCAATCGGAGTGTGTAGTGTGCGCCCGGCTGCAAGTTGAGTTTTTTGTCCGGATCGTTCTGTTTCTGGATGTGCCTTCGACCTGCTGCGGTTATTGTCACATCCCATCCTGTCTCATCCAGGGTCTCCCACTCTCGCTTGGTTGCGGGGACACACGCAAGGGTTACACGCCACGAGGCAACGAATTCATACGGCGAAAGCCACCAAATTTCGGACAATGCTGGTCTGTGCCCATAGACTTCTGCTACATTTACATACGCCAAATGGCGTACGCCCGAGGAGTGTCGTCGAGTCCACCGAGTGCTGACTTTGGAACTAGGTGCGGATGGGTCTATGGCATGTAGGTGTTGCACCACGTCTACAAAAGCTCCGCCGGGAAAGCTTTCAAAGGCTGTAGTGCTAATGCGTTCTGCAGAGACAACGGTGGCATCACGATGATGCGCGCGTAAATTGCAGCATTCCACTTGACCGCGGACAACCCCCTTCAAGTAGGCGTCACTGAGGAACCTGCTTGCGTGTCGCTTGCCGATACAATCGACCGAGCTGCCGCGTACTTGCGCGTGTAAGTGATCATGGCCTTTCTGAAACTCCTTTATTTCAGCAAAACCCATTGGTTGATTTTTGCTGCAATAGTCAGCGCAGTAACCGGTCTGCGCATCTTGCGCACGCTGCGCAGCTAGTGCGATGGCACGGCGCGCTTCGGGCTCGAGCCGGGTGCCACAGATGTCGCAAGCGTAGGGCAGTCGGTACGGGACCTGGACATCACAATTGGCGCCGCGCAATCCAGCCAGCATTGCTGGCGCACAGCCATTCAACCACTCATTTCCACACGGGCCATGTAAAGATCCGAGGCGGTTCTTGCGGCCACTGCCAGGCATGCCAAACTTCTTTAATTGACAGGGACACAGCACCGATGCCACGCTACAAAGCCACGACGTACGTGGAAAATCGCTCTTGCAAACGCCGGGGCGATCACTCTTTTGGCATCCGGATAACGGAATCCGCGCCTGCGCGGCTTCATTGTACGGATGATAGTGATGCTGTTTCAAGAGCTGCAAGGCGACTACGTCTTCTTCTAAATATTGTTGCTTCCATTTTGCTGCTTCGGTATCTGCATCTTGCCGGCTGGCGGGTTGCAGTTGATAACCTGCTGCTGCAGTCATGACAGTATCGTGTTCGTGTTCCGGCCAAGTTGCTTCCGCGGCCTGAATTCTTTCTTGCACGCTTGCCTCTGTCTGGCCGGCATAAGATGCATGACAAACGTGTGCGTGATACTGTTCGTACGCTCGACGGAAAGCGTCCATGCGCTGTTCGCTGATGTCGAAAATCTCTTCGAGTGGCGTATGTTAGTTGATGCAGGCACTGCACGAAAACCTGTGCATGACCATGTATGCTGCCAGTGCTTTTTTGCGCTTCCAGCGTGATGTAGACGGCGTCGACACGACCGAAAATACCTCCGCTTGGTTCAGCATTGCTGCCATATTTGTCTTGACAAGGTTCCCAACGCGCATCAAAAAAGTTGCACTCCGGACACATGGGGCAAGAGCGCACACCGAACAGATGCTTCAACATCAAATGCGTGAGGACGCGAAAACCGTCAACTGCTGCGAGTGGATCGCGCGCCAACACTTCACGACGATCGGCCCACGACATGGGTAAGGAAAACTCCGTCTCGAAAGGACTTGTGTCTAAAGACGTGTCAGACAACCGCGGAAAATCCATGCCACCGGCCGGAAAATCTTGTCGTAGCGTGGCGGCGCGGACGGGATCGGTTGTACGAATTCGAGACATGCGAACAAACAAAAGTTGATGCGCCTCATCCGGTGTGAACGTCACAAACAGTGGAACACCGTACCTAATGCGCATGGCTTGAATTTCGAAGCGCATGCGCTTCCGCGCCTCTTGCGTGCCTGGTAGACCTTGCGCCGTGTGTCGTATGTTTTTGAGCAGCTTGCGCGCCATCGGCTTCAGGCCGCGAACGTACCGAAGTTTCGTCATGTCACCCTTGACTGCCCGTTGTGTACCGTGTACATCGGTGTATGTTCGTTGTAAAGCCGCAAGCAGCTGCTTGGCCGCCGCTTCAATGTGGCTTTCCGTTGGGCGAATCCACGCTTGTTCGTCTTCGTCATAGTATGTCTGCGAATAGGCATCCGTAGTACGAGACAAATTCAAGGATGATCGGAAGAGTAAGTTCCACGCAGTGAATCCAAAGACCCAATCACGACTAACTTGTGCCTCAACACGACGTGCCATAGCGCGAACCCAGCCGCTAAGCGTCAGCCACGGTTCGTCAGCATGACGTGGTCTTTGTTGCTTGCTCCATTCTGGCGGATCTGGCATACCGAGCCCAAAAGGAAAAACAAACGGAAACGCTAAAGCGAAATAGTTCGATTGGAATTGATCCAAAAGTTTAGTGCCGGTATAGAGGACAACTTCGGGGAGCGCTTCTGGTTTGTTGACGTGTGTTTCGTGAACAATATTTTCGAGTCGGGTCACCTGTTGCGCGTTGACATCTTGGAAGCCCGCGCAGGTTTTTTCTAAGACTACGGCATTGGGCTTCAACATGCGTGCAAACTCACGAGTGATTTGTGCTTCAGTCATGACAGTATTGACTGCGTTTGCGGCTTTCTGTCGTTGAATATGACTCAGACTGTCATCGTTCTCTAGCATGGCCACTACTTCCTGCGGAACATCGTGTTCTGGCAACATGGTGGCCCGTTCGGTAACAGCAACCATGTCAACATTCCGATACGCAGGATGGCCACGCGCTACCATTGCGGCGATCAAAGCCACCACGACCCGCCGGCGAACGACGGCCTGGTGCACAATATGCTGCTTCACATCCAGGTCTTGCTTTTTGCCGACTTTAATCAAAACCGCCACCTTGTTTCGCAAATCGCTTCCGAGATGGGGTAAAAGGCACGGTGCAGCAGGATCAGTTGCAGTGTCCAATTGTTGCAACTCCGACAGCAAATCTTCCCACTGCAACGGAAAAGCGGTTGCATTCCCTTTGGCGCACAGACGGTGACGGTTCATGAACGCGTCCTGTGCTAGGCTCCGATCGGACAAGTGCCGCCATTCGATACTATAACACGTGAGCGCTGTCATACAAGGGCTTGCACAAAGAAGTTCCAGAACGGTGCACTCTTGTGCATACAGGTCCCGCGGTGGGTGACCTAACACCATATTATTGCTAAGGGCTTCGGCAGGTTTGCGTTGACATCCGTAGAGGCTGTCCTGGCAAGCTTTGCAAAGGGGCACTTCACACAAAGCACACATGCGGTTCGAGCGGCAGGGCGGTACTGCGCTGCAGCGCTTATCTTCCGAACACGCCACGAGCATTACATCGTACTCGGCGGAACGAAAGTGGCACGTCCACGAGTCCATTTCACTGCGTAAGGAGGATTGGGTGCTTTCATCGAGGGGTAAAATGTACCGCTGCTCAAACGTTTTCCAGCCTAATATCTCTTCGAGCTTTTCCGACGTCTGTCCCAACACCAAACGCGTTTTCGGATCCCGGGCCTGCACCCATGTGATGCATGTATTGCGGCAAGCAGGCATGAACGGGTACCGACGAGCACACACGAAACAGACAGCTGCACCGAGTGTACCTTCTGTGAGGCTCTTCCGAAACTGTTTGAGGCATCGTCGATCAACACTGCAATTTGCGACCGGGGCGAGCTGCTGACAGCGGTACTGCAAAAGATGCAAATATGTCTCATACAGTGCTTGTCTCAGACTGGTGTGCGTGACGTGTGGATGCAACGACAGTGGCAGAAGAAGGCTTTGATGCGTCTGGACCAGATGTTGTTCTAACTCGCTCTGTTGCGAGCACGTAAAGACGCAGCTGCGGAAGGCGCAGTGATACGGAGGCAGCAGGTATGCCCTGTCCCGCGCCGTCTCTGTCGTAGTAGACGCGGGCAACGTAGGTGATTCGGTCAGCAGCTCCGCAGCCTGTTGTATGTCGAGATCCCGTCGCGCGCGTGGATCTTCGTTGCCGTCTTCCCGTGGCCATATGCGGAGCGAAAAAATGTCGTTGACTGCTTGCATTGGGTTTTCTGCGACGTCCGCGTGTGTTTGAGGCAACTGCGGTGATGTGACTGGGGTTGATGGATTCAGTCGATGTGGATCCGGTTGCTTGCCGCGTAGTCGTCGCGGGAGGCCGACCGCCGGTCGCGATCCCGGTGCTGAGCTTGCAAGTTCCAGCGACTGCGGGTTGGCGTCCTGCGGCAGCCCTTCGCGAAGTTTCCGTCCGGGCCCCTGTGTGCAGACGGCGTGATACGCCAGCCACTGTTCCATAAGCCGACGTGCAGCATGCATGCCCGAGTCTGCATAAACCAATCCGGCCTGCAGCAACGTATGCAAAGTTGTTGTCAGAGCTTCCCGATCCTGACCGCAAGCTAAGACATTCTCTGCGTCCGCATCGGAGACCGCTAGATCCGCACCACGTGCATCGAAGAAGCTTTGCAGCAACGTCCGCAGCTGTGCCAGATCTTGCGCCGGTGTGCGACACTCCCTGTGTGCGATCGGGGCAACAGTCGATGGGCAGGCGTCGCTTGGTGTTGCTGTCGGCGGACAGGCTGTCACAGGATTTGCAGAGGTTGTGCGATTGCGACCTTGCGTAATAGCAGGAGGACGCTGTGGTAGCAATGCATCAAAATGATATCCCTGTCCACACGGTGTTGTCCAATTGTAAAGATACAAAGTCTCCAAGCTAGTCTCGGTGCTTGCGCCTGCGTGTGCAATTCGCGTTCTGTTTTCCCGCGCATCTACGTCTATACCTGAAAACCGGTCAAGTACAACGAGTTCAAACACGGTGTCCTGCCATACGATGTGGTGCACGTCAAGCAAGTAGGCGACAATATGTGGAGCATCTCTTTCTGCGTCAAGATATGGCCACTGACCCGTAGCAGTTTGCGCAACGGGGGCGCCGACGACAGCAACGAGATGCTGCCGACACTGGTGCGCAATCCTGCCCCGGCAGTTTGCTGCTTCTATGACGGGATCTGGCAGCCATTGGGCAGCACGCAAACTCAGTAGCAATGCATCAATTAAGCAATTACTTAGATGGGCTGGGGTGTTGTTAATTAGTTAACAAACCTAAGCACTTTACTAACACTTTAGTAACCCTATACTATCTCATTGTTAACCCACTACTAACATGTTCTAATGTGGTAACAAAATTAAACAAATTATTAACTTTTAACAAAACTTAGCTAACTTTTTTATTTTTCTTAAAGAGTTAGGTGAGTTAGTAACTGTTAGCTAATTTTTGAAGGGTTTGTTATGTATGTTTTCAATTAAACTACAAAGGTGCAATGTTCCCATAAGATTGAAGTCAAAAGCTATTTTTTATCATTTGCAAAAAAAATAAATCAATTTTTGTAGTATAAAACCATGGCCAAGGAGGTCATACAACCATGGCCATTTGTGTCACAGAAGACACCAGTGCATAGAACTTGTTTCAGGAGATTTGGATGTATTTATCTCCTTTGGAGTATCTATTCACATGCTGCCTGTGCATGATGTTTGCATGCTTTACAATATTTGCATAGCATGAAGTGCTTTGTTTTTCACAAGCCTTTGGGGCTGGAATTTGTTTGCATTCATTTTGTGTTGCTGAGCAACCAACACCTGTGCAACACAGGGAAGCTTGGCCCAAAGAGCTTTGATAAGTAGCCATGTCAGAAGCTGAAGATGACAAGTCTGGCTCTGATGTGATAGGAGGTGAAGCTCCTGCAGTAAAGATCATACCCTCCATTGCCATATCCCTGAAGGGTCGCAAGCCTGTTGTAATCCCAAACAACCTTGTGGTTGAGGACTGGGTGTTTGGTTCTATTGCATGAAAAATGTGCCTCTTACAAGCAATTGTATTCATTCAATTTGCGTTAAGAACAGCAGGCTCTGCATGTCTTCCAGCATGTGCCATGTGCTTCACAGTTGCAGGACTTGTCTGGGAACTCTTACTTGAAGATCCAGGGCAGTTCTCTAGTGATTGCTAAGCTCATTTGCAACTGCTCCAAGCCAAGTGTATCTTTGGCCAATGGAACCAGGCTGGCAGAGTTGAAGAAGAGCAGGAATGAGCAGATGCAAGCCCAACCTTCCAAGAAGGCCAGGGCTGAGCAGCTTGTGGAGATTGTAGTTGAGGACAGTTCTGTGCACATCCTATGCCCTGGAAAGCGAGCTGCATCAGCAGATTTGATGGTGGCACTGAAGGAAGATCAGCTGTTCACTGTATTCAAATACCTTGCACCAGACTGCCATGATGGCTCCAAGAGCAACAGGTCCTACAAGAGAAGTGGCAACTTTGTGGGCAGTGCTAGGAAGAGAGGCAGAAGCCATGGCTGACTGTGAACTCCAGCTGAGGGCCAAAAGTTGAGCACACATGTGCCTGCTACCTGTAAGTGTGTGGTTTGTGGGTTGGGGTCCTGTAGGGCTGGTATAGGTATTGCAACTCATGCTTGAAGCCTTTTAGGGCTATGGTTTGGTATTCTTCTCACCTTTGAAGCCTTTTAGGGCTATGGTTTTGCTTTCTTCTCATTGCTGCCCACTCAACCAGCCAGTTTGCAAGACTGGGTCCAGGCATGCCAGCACTAGTCATGTGGTCAGAGTTGATGTGATATTTTAGTTGCAAATGCTTCAAGGCAAGTATGTGTATTGAACATGTCTTTGTGTAACCAACACTGTGTAAGCAAAGCCTGGCAAAAGCCATGAGTGTGCCTGCACATGTTGTCAAAGAGGTGGAGGAGCTCATCCATCCTTCTTGCACCTTGCCCATGAACCACAGGCTGCAGAATGTCTTGAGGATCCTTGAAGACATCAACTTTGTGTACTCCACTGTGCTTAAACCAGAAGCACTGATATGCCACCCCCACAACCGTGGTGGATCAATGATCAATGCTCACAATGCTTATTTGAAGGGATTCCAAATTGAAGAGATGGGGTTGAGGCCTGAATTGCTGCCAGCCAACTCATTGGCATTGGAGATCTCCATGAACCAGACACAAAGAACCAGCCAGTTTCAATCAAACAAGAAAATGGTGGCTGACAGCAAAGGCCTTTTGGCCAGTATCAAGGGGGATGAGAGATTCATGACACTGTCCAACTCCCACTTCATACAGTGGAGTCGAGCAGTTCAAGCTGGGCTGAGGGCACCAGATGGAACCCAGCTCCTTGCCAGTCCTCACATTTGAAGGAGCTCCTCCAATCAGGATGGCAATGGAAAGTGATTGTGAGTCAGGCTGAGGTCACCTGGCCAGGTCTCCCTGCATTTGCATGCATGTCCATGAACTCCAGCAACACCAACCAAGTTGCATCAAATGAACTTGAGACTATGCTCAAACTTTCTGAGCTTTACCAAGCAGGCTTCAAGATGGACGATGCTATTGTGGAGGTGCAGAGGAGCTCTCCAAGCTGTAAGGCATACATGGTGGATGTAGCTTTCTTTTGTAGAATGTTCACAGGAGGGTCAACATTCCCCTTGCTCAGATGCTTAGACATGTTCTGCACCTTGCTACCAAAGGAAACTGTGTATTTTGTCTATTTTGCACCAAAACATTGCCTACTGTCAAAACTTCACAGAGCCTGGTTTGCCAGTGCCATTTAGCCAAGGTAAATCCTGTGGCCACAACCTCTTGATTGGTGAAGAGATGATGAATCACCTTGCCCACTATGATTTTAAAATCTCTGGCCAGACCATGGTGCTGACAAGGTTTGCATTGGCAGCATGCATCCTAACATCCAGAAAACACCAAGATGGCATTAGCAAGCTCATCTACAAGTCAGACCTGGACAAACTGAAGAACAAAGATAGCACCAGGAAGTTGGATGATATGCTCCATTCTCTGTGGACAGAAGCCCAGAAGGTATCAAACACAGAGCTTGCCTACATTGCCTTTGGCAAGGCAGCTGTCAGAATGACACTGCATGCCCTAAGCAAACAGAAGATTGCCAAACAGGAGTCCTATGACAGCTTTGAAGAGATTGTAGAACAGTTTCAAGCTGATTTGGTGTCACCTGCCAGCAGCACTGTGAAGGCTACCAGTGCTTCTGCAGTGTCCACAGATGAGACTTCAGTGCAAGACCTTGTCAACTGCAGCAGCCAAACTGTTGCCTTGTTCCAAAACAATCACATTAAGCTCAATGAAAAGCACCCAGGCGGCAAATTGATTTCCCCAAGAGAGTATTGTTTATCACCAAGCTGCACTGCACCTTGACCAAACATATTTTTCACCACCCCTTGCTGTGGCTTTGGCTCAGGTACACTTGCCCTTCCCAGTATGAGGACAAAATCTTCATCCTCAAGAGCATTGATGACACAGGAGCCCATTTTGAGCACTCTCCTTTGTTTGGTGACCCTTTGAAGCATTGCCAAGACTTGGCATCCTTGAAACAGTGGAAGCATACCAAAAGGGAGACTACTCAGCTCTGCCCTCCAGCTCTATGTGCACAGAGAATGGCCTACAACTTTCCAAGCATGCAGAAGGAGGCAGACAAGATGTATGTGAATGCAATCCTGATGGAAGCCTACATGACCAACAAACTCAAAGAAGATGATATGGTGAGCTTCACTTTGCACCCCAACAATTTGGTGCTGATGAAGAAAGCAAAAAAGAAAGAACTCAGATTCTTTCCTGCTGGCACTTGCACAGCAGTACCAGAGAAGGATCTGGAAAAGATAGTGGAGAAGAACAAAGCCACTTTGGTATGGTACAAGAACAAGCCTTTCAATGTTCAGCCTTTCAAAGCTGTGACCAGCTTGGAGAAGCCTGAGAATGGCATCTTTTGCCCATTCTTTTGGGCAAAGGCTTCAGAAGAAGCTAGTGAGATCAACCTGGCTACAGGTTGGGTGGACTTCAAACAGCTGAAGATCCCAGTGCTGGAGAATCCTGATGGCATCAGCCCTCAGACCCTGCTCTTCAAATCTACTGAAGAGCACTTGGAACTTGAACCACCTGCCAAAAAGGCAAAGTCTGGCTGACTTCACCTTCTGAGAAGGGAGTGTTTCAGATACTTCATGTGTGGAGTTCAGTGAATTGAACATCCATATATCTTTTGCTGGTAGCTGGTGTGAGCCACCTGAAGGGTAGCTGAGACCTCAAACCTGAAAGAAAAATAGACTCCAACTCCACTCAAGCTTTCCTTCTGCAAGCATCACATTGTGTAAGTCAGTTGGCAAGCTTATAAGCAAGCCTCAATTGCATGTGTTTACTTGTTTGATTAGCTGTGTTTCAGCACACTGGTGCTTTTGTTTGCTGTTTTCAGCACACTGGTGCTTTTGTTTGCATTTTTGTTAATATTTTGGGTGAGCTTTCAGAGCTGCAGTGTGTTGTTTGACAATGATTGTTTACACAATTCTTGCAATCAATACTGCTCAAGAGAGCTGGCATGTAAATGGGTTTGTTTTTGAGCTGGCTCATGTTAGTCAGTCGCAACTAGAATCACAACTGTGTACACTTCACAGTGGTAGACTTTTCATTATATCATGGATAAGAGGCCTGTTGAAGCCCCATGGCACCAAGCAAGGAAAAGGGCCAGGAAGGTGCAAGCATCACTGGATACACTCCAGAATGAAGGAAAGCTCTTTGAAGCTGTTTAATTTGCTTTACAGTTAGGGCTTGTGGTTCTTTTTTAATTACTTCTCTGGAAAACATAATAGTTGGTAGGTTCACTTTGTCTATGTATATGTGCCATCAGCTTTTGTATGTTTACCAAGGATGCACCATCTACTATAGATGGCTTGGTTTCTGAAGCTGTTCCAAGCCCAGAGTATGATGCATGGAATGACACATGGCAAGAACTGGATCCAAAAGATGGTGCTTCAGCTCAAGAACCAGCTGCTCCTGGTCTAGTTCAAGAACAACAGACTCCTGCTCCAGAACCAGCTGCTCCTGGTCTAGTTCAAGAACAACACACTCCTGCTCCAGTTCCAGCACAAGACATTCCAGTTCAAGACACTCCTGCTCCAGTTCCAGCTCAAGTGCCAGACACTCCTGTTGAGATGAAGAGTGCACAGGAAGCTGCTCATGTTCCAGTGCAAGGTGCTAAGGCTAAGGCTGGACCTCCTTTGCCTCTTGAGAAGGCAGCAAGGGTGCATAACAAAAGCTCTTCGAAAGGAAGCTTGAATAGCAGCAGCTCCTCTACACCTGCCAGGCCTTCAAAGTTTGCATATGACCTACCAACACCTGTTCCTGAATATGATCCACAAACCAAGTCCAGGCTGGTTTGCTCCCCTGAAGAAATGAAGAAGTTTCTCTTTGGATCCCAAGCATCAAGCAGCTCTGACATTTGGAATGTATTCAACACATTTGGTTAATGTTTTGATTGTAATCATATTGACAAGAATATATAATCACCAATTGTAATTTAATTTAACTACAGTAGTCAGAACTGTTTATTTCATTTGATGTTGTTGAATACAACCTGTAAGGACAAAGAATTTCTATCACCTGTACAAGGTGGAGGCTGGTTTAGAAAAACTGGAGGCCTCATAGTTGCCTGGAAGCTTGGTGAAACTCATCGCATGCGAAGACTCCTTCAAAGGTGGGAGGAAATTCCACTCATGAAGACTTTTACAAAGAGTTTACTGGACCATGTCAAGGAACATGGATGGCCCAAGAATTTAGAGGGAGAATATGGTATGGACTGTCCATAGATTGACTGTGGTGAGAGTGAAAAAGAATGTGTGTTTATGTGTTCAATCAAATGAATGTGTACATTCTAGTAGATGCAAAGCTCATCAATGACTAATAAGTATTGATTAAAGTTTATTGGATGTTTAATTTGCAATTCAAATTCAAACACACACATTTTAAATTTCAATTTGAATTTCAAATTGAAATGAAAACAATCTTGATTTCAATTCAAATTTCAAATTGAAATCAAAACTATTTGGATTTCAATTTGAATTTCAAATTGAAATAAACTTATGCATTTACTTTAAGTCTAATGATTTCAAAAGCATTTAGTGCTTTGGTTTATATTTTCAAGCACTTAGGTGCTTTCATTTTATGTTTGAAGCACTCTGGTGCTTTCATTTTGTGTTGTGAAATACTACTCAATAGTATAATGGTTAACCATTATATACAATGGATAACCATTATACATATTTTTTTAGTTTGATTGCTTACAGCAGCACTTAGAGTTTCAAAGATTTGATACCAGTGGCTGTACCTTTTGTGTAGCTTGGCAGCTTCATGTCGAGCAAGCGCTTTGTGGCTTTTGAGCAGAAGCACACCAAGGTGAAGGTGTTGCAGGAGCTCACAGATGCAGAGGTGCTCTCTGTGAAGGTGGATGACCAGACAGTGTACAACTCTGTGCATTTGCCCAATGTGCCTTTGATGGAGTATTGGCACCAGGACAGAGTTCAACAATTAAATATACATATGTAAATGTAATGATAAGCAATTTGTTTCACATTTGTGATAGCTGTTGCACCTTCAGTGTGAAAGGATGCAGAGCAGTTTTCATTGCTGCTTGTATACTTAGTATGTTTTGTTTGTGGTGTGTCCTTTTGCACCAAAGTACATTTGCTTCAGGTCACATTGCAATTGCAATGTGACCACATAAGGATGCTATCCAAAGACCCACTTTTGGACAAGATGTTCAAGGCCTACACCATCATCCAGGGAATCCAAATGGCAGCTGCTTGTAAACAACAGCTCATCCATGGAGCATTTACCTTTTTTGCTCCCAGAGCAAAGCTCTGAGATTGTTAGATGTCAACAATGCATTGTGAGCATTGCCTTCAGAGAAGAAACAATTGTATCAGCGCATGCTCCAGCACATCACAGATAAACAGTGCTTATTGTGTGTTTGCTTGTGAAACATAAGTCATGACTATCAGTCCCTGAGTCTTTGTACATTGAAAGAATTTAGCTGATCAAATTAGCCTATGGGGCTTGTGAATTTATTTTGTATTTTTTAAGCCTTGTGGGTCAAAGGGGTTTCAAGACCCAATGGGCTTTGGTTTCTGAGTTTTGCTGTGCAATATTCCCATGGCTACCTGGGATGTACAGGATCTGATCAAGGAAGTGTCAGATATGGAGTTGATATTTGGTAAAAACAAAACATCCGACCTCATTCCCAGAATGAAAGATGCTTTGATGGCAAAGGTGGAGAGCCTACACTTGGTTACCCCTTCGAACTATGTGTTGCTGATGGAGACTATGGAGAAAACAACTTTGCCATCAGACATCAAAAAGGAGCTGGAGTACTCTTTTGAGAAAAAGACTGCAGCTGGTGCGCAAGGCCCTCATAGGCTCCAGTCAACACCACAAAGCATGACCATGCCTTTCAATTACCTGTCCAAGAGTGAGTGGGACAGACTTGATGGAGATTGCACCACAGTGGAAGCAGCCCACATGCTCATCAAGAGGATGAAAATGTGTGGCCTCAAGAGTCTCAAAGAAGATACCAAGAAGCAGGTCACTGCAAGTCTAGTTGTTCTGCAAATGAGATCAACAAAGACAAAAACCTTGCCTCCCAGTGCTGAAATGTACAAGCTGTCTCAATTTGTGCATGACAGCTTCAGTGCTTGTGAAGTGATGTCCTTGCATGGTGGTTTGTCGAAGTACCCTCCATCTCCATATGATCTTGGAGAGGACATTGGTTGACAAACACAATCTAAACACATATCTTCACAAGTGTTGCACAGCTAGTGGTTTTGACATATAAGAATGTGTTTTCAATCTTTGCGCTCCCTGCAGGATTTCCTGAAAGCATGCTACAAGGAAGATGATTTGCCTTTAAGGTCACCTCCACAAGACTTTGCCAACTCAGTGGCTACAATGTCAAAACAAGTCAAGGTAAGGCAGAGTGCAAAAGACTTGAAGCCTTTGCTGCAGTCTGGGGCTTCCAGTGCTGGAGGTGACCCCATGGTGAACATGAACAACCAGATGATGTCACTTCTCCTGGAGATGAACTTCACAAGACCTTGGCCTTGGACAAGGCCAAGGAAACCTCTCAGCTTGCAAAGCTTTGCTCCACACAAACTCTATCTGGAGACTCAGAGGCTTTGTGCAGCCCCAAAGCTTTGCCTTTGCCACTTGAAGATGGTGAGGCATTGGAAAAACCTGCTACTGAGTTGGCTCCAGCAAATGACCAGAGCTTGGGGGAGAAAGAGAATGATGCACTTTCAGCAAAACACAAAAGCTTGGAGGAGTATGAAGAGGAAGCAATGCAAATGCTTTGCAAAAGAAAGGCACAAGAGATGGATAAAGTGGTCAAGGGCAAGTGCTTGAAAAAGCCTGCTTGCTCCAAGCCAAAAGCAGCACCAAAGAAGAAGGGTGGTCAAAAGCCATCTCCAGATTGGATGAAGGGCATCTATGGATGCCTGCGCTGTAGGGGGAATGTGAATGGATGCAGTACTTGTTGGAATGAAGGCTTTCAAGGCCTCAGGTTCTCCAGCAGGGCTAAATGGGCTGCTTTCATGAAGCAGAAATCTGCAAAGGGTAAGAAAGGCAAGTGAAAACACTTGGCTTGACATGTTTGGCTCTTAGAGCTTGGGGTGTCCATGGCAAGTTCCATGGGTTGAAGATGCAGTATGGCCAGTTGAAAAGAAACAGCTGCTGCCAAACAAATGGTTTGCAGGCTTATGGGGTGGGAAGTGTGCATTTGTGTTCAGCAGGTTAACTAGTTGGCATTGCAGTGTAGCTTATGAGTTTTTGCTTTAATTGAAGCCGTTCAGGGCTGCATATTCTACCAGGGTTTAATTGAAGCCTATCAGGGCTGCATATTCTACCAGGGCTGCATATTGAGCCTTTCAGGGCTGCTTTGTTGTTTGAATACTAATTTTGCAACCAACTGTTTCACATCTTTCTGTATCATTGCAGATATGTAGCTTTGGTGGGCCCAAAGCACTCTATTATGCACACAATAAGAAGTTCAATAAGCATAGACACTTGTGCCATTACCTGATGCAACCATTCTTATACCTGTTACAGGCATGCAACCATTCTTAGAAGTGTCCCAACATGCATATTTTCACATGCCATTGATACAGTCAGCATTGTGTTTACCAAACCAAGCACCAACACTATAGTGAACATAGATTTGCTTTCTTTGGGCAATGCCAGACTTTGCTAAACTGCAAAGTTTCAGACAAAGGGTGCCTTTCTGTAGCCAATCTGCACTGGCAGCAATTCTTACACTTGCCAAAGAGGAGGGCATACCTGAGTGCCACAAAAGGAAAGATATCAGGTCCAGTGTCCAGCAATTGGTCCAAAGTTTGCAGCTGTATGGACCTTTGCTGATTACAATATCAGCTGTCACTTTGAGTGGTGGATCGGACACCTTAGTGTTTGGGGATATATTCTCCTACCTGGCAGGAGCTTATGCTGCAGGAGGTGCTTTTGCTTTGTACCTTGAAAGGGTACATGCCAAGTGCCCCAGCAGTTTTGATAGACCTTGGAAGTGCATACTCTACGCTGACGAACTTCACCCAGGCAATCAATTGGCCAGTGGCGCAAGGAAGACATGGGCCTTGTACTTTTCCTTTGCTGAATTTGGTGGAGACCTATCAAAGTCTGACCTGTGGTTTACTTTATTAACCACAAGATCTGACCAGGTGGCACAGCTGCAAGCCAACATTGGCCAATGCTTCAGACTGATCCTTGAGCACATGTTTGAGAACCCATTTGCACACCCCCATGCTGGGGTGCTGCTGCAAAGGGGAACTTCGAGGTTGAAGCTCTTTTGGACTTTGGGATTTTTCCTTCAGGATGGCAGCGCTCAAAAATTCACATTCTCAAATAAGCAAGACAGTGGGTCCAGGGTGTGTATGCATTGCAAAAACATTTTCAGGTCAACATCCAAAGATGATGATCAAGGCCAAAAAGAAATTTCAAAATATATCAAGCACAGCCAACTTGACATTGCCAGTGACCAAGAAATCCTGAGTGCATGGACAAGGATGGAGACCAGAGCCAGTTCATGCAGCAAGGCACAACTGAAAACTTGGGGTCAAGCAGCTGGCATTGACTGGTCTGCCCAAGCACTTCTGGCCAGTGCTGTACTTAAGAAACAAAACATTTTGCAACCCATCAGCCAGTACATGCATGACTTTATGCATGGCTTGGCTTCCAATGGTGTCTTGACATGGATTACATTTCTTTTGATCCAATCATTGTATGACAGTGGTGTTGTGGACATCTGGAAGAAGCTCCATGGATTTTTCACACTGTGGGTGCAACCAAAGAAAGGGAAGGTGGCTGTGCAAAGGCTATTTGACAACAAAGCAGTCGAATCGCACAAGAAAGCTTGTAAATTCAAGTGCTCAGCAAGTGAAATGCTTGGAGTTTGTGAAATCATGGCATATTATGTGGAGTTGTGTTGCATTCCACATGGGCTATGCATTGCAGCTTGTCAATGCTTCTTGGATTGGTGCAAAGTCTTGAACTATTGTGTGGCAATTCCTTCATTGCAAAGGCCTTGCCACAAACACTTGCTTGAGTTGGTGGAAGCAGCACTGGCTTCTACCATCAGTGCAGGTTGGTCAGAAGAGTTCAGGCCTAAGTTTCATTGGGCTATGCATTTCAGTGATGCTTTGAAACTCCATGGTCAACTCCCTGGGGTTTGGTCCCTGGAAAGAAAGCATAAGGACATCAGGAAACGTGCCAATTTGCTCTGCAACACATCATCCTATGAAAAATCTTTGCTGGCTTCAGTGATTGCTGAGCACATGCATTCACTGGAAACACATGTGGAATCTTTCAGGGAAGGATGTTTCTTGGAAAATGTCAGACAGCCAACCAAGAAGATGATGGCAGCACTTCAAAGCAGTGGCTTGCTATTTCTTGACAGCACATGCATGTGCAGTTCCTCCTGCAGACTGGCTTCTGGGGCTACCATCACAAGTGGTGATGTGATATATTTACAATCAGCATCCACATTGCCTTTCTGTGCTGGCCAAGTCCATTTCTTCTTGCAATTTTCCTTTGGGGAGGTTGCCTGTGTGGAGAAGTACATGGCTGGAGACAATGCATTGTCCACATTGGTGTCAAAGTGGAATGTACCCACTCCCAGGCAGTTGACATTTGTGCCTTTGGAAGAAATCCTTTGTTCAGTGACATATTCAAGTGCCAAAGGCAAAGTCACTTGTCTCACCCCACCATATTTGTTGGCCAGGCAGTGAAAAATGTTTGTTTTTTTGTGCATTTTATGCAATGAAGATGTGATGGGTTACATTGAACAAGGTTTGTGTTAAGAGTCTAGCTGGCGTTTGGGCGCTAACCAATCAGTTCACATTTTTTCATTAGCCTTGCAGGGCTTTCATTTTTTTTTGAGCCACACATTGGGCTGCAAGTTTCTATTGCTTTCTATGTTCAATTTGCTTTAAAATCTTAATTCTAAAATTGAAAAATTTTATTGCAATTTTGATGTTAATGGTGTTAAAAAAACTAACATCCTTACCTAGTTATAACTAGTTAATAACTGTTAGCTAATTATGTTAATTTTGTTAACCTGTTAGCAACACCCCAGCCCATCTAAGTATTGCCCTCGTGCGAGGAAGCGTGACAATGCGCAAACCCCAGTTCTGCAAGCTCACGTAGGCGTACGTCGTCCGCGCGGACTTCGTGGGGGGCATTGGCCTCAGCGATAGTCAGAAAACGACTAAGGACGGCGTGACATGTCTCTGATTGGTCGGGGTTGAAATCTCGCCAACCATCCCATTCTGAGACCCATGTCTGTTGCATTGCTTTGGCCACGTTTGCTGAGGTATTGACGCAAGATAATAACATAGCATGAAGCAGTTCTTGTGCGTCCGCCGACAGCTTGGTCCAGTTGGATGTATTATGACTGCCACGGCCTCCGCCCAGAAAGCGAGGTCTGATAGACCACGTCCCTACGATCGCGGCTTCATGCCGGCGCCACCGAACCGACGCTGTCGATGTTTGAGTAGACGCGCAGCCACCAACATGTTGAGTGTTGTGTTTAGATATAGCATCTGACACAGCGAGGGAGGCGCGCCACGCGGAGTCCACGTTCCGTTTCATGGCCTCTGACCGCGGACTGCGGTTCGACATCGAATCCCTCAATTTGGCTGCTCTGTTTCGCGCATATTTGTGACGACGCTTGCCGATCCAACGGCATTGACGGAGATTCGGCGGACGCAAGCGACCCACTCGCGCGCCTGATGTGTGACGGTGGTGTGTCTGTGATTTTCCGCCTGTGCCTTGAGAGACCTCACGCGGTTGCGACACGGGGGTAGCATAGTTGTTGCATGCCGCGTTGCACTCACAACCAGCAACGGGTGGAAAGCGCCCAGCGCCAACGCGACACAGCATTGCGGCAAAATGCATCGATTGTCCCACAAACGCACCGATCTCGGTTTGCACTACCGCAAACACGTCCGCCGCGCCTTTGCAGCTGCACAGCGAGAGGTATGGAACGCACCACTCTTGCCATCGAGTCAACACCGACGAATTTACAGCCAATTTGCGACCCACGCACGCTCGCGCATAGGACGCGCGGCGGCAAAACGAGCAAGGTAAGTCGGCCGCGACCCTGAGGTGCTGACTCTGACGACGCGTTGAGGATACCTCAGTTTCCTGGAACAGACAAGTCTTGTCGATGCAAATACCCAATTTCTGGGCGCCGGCTATACCGGTTAAGCGCATTTCGGCACCACGCGTGCACAATGCCAACGCGGATGGCCTCGCGTCTGCACCCACGCGGAAGGTCTCATGCATTTTTAGCCCGCATGGAAGGCATTCATGCGTTTTCTGCCCGCACGCAAGGCCGCGATGTGGAGGGTTGCTCCACACCACCGCATGCGTTTTTTGCCCGCATGGAAGGACTGCATGCGAGTGTTGCCCGCACGCAAGGCGAGATTGCGGGGTGTTGCCCCACATCAGCATCGAGATGCAGTTGGCTGCACTGGGATGTATACTTGAGCCGAAGTCTTGAGACTGCGAGATGCAGTTGGCTGCACTGAGGATGCATCATGATTTTTCCTCGCGTTGTACGTATCGCGTTTGCGAAATCTAAATAGCTATCGTTTAAATTGAGATACAGTTTGCATAAACTGAGCCTGGCTAAGTCAAGGTCTGCACTGAGTTATCCCACGTGCGGTATGCTCTGCGCTACGATTTTTCTGGACTCCACTTGTCTGCGCTGCAAGCGAATCCGCTCTCAGAAAATCCTTGCTCACGCAGCCTGGAGACGATAAGCCTGGCGCGACCGATAGAAACGAAATACACTGTTTTGGACATTTTGGTTTCCGCAGACAGAGTGAGTCAACTCGACACAGGCATCGACCTTTGTCTAAACAGAAAGCTGCAAACAACTTCTGGATTCGGTGTGGACAACGGCAACCTCGTTTTGCTTCGTTTTTTAAACCTGGTTGTGAGAAAGGAAAAAAGAAAGGTTCGAACCTATTTGCGAGGAAAAAACACATAACTCGCCTGGAAGCTACTGGTTGTATTCGACCGTTTCGGCTCGGGCTGGAGGTTCGTGAAGGCCTGGAGT